TAACTGTAATGACATCGTGCTGAAACAGCTGGAAAAGTGTATCCTGTTTGTTTTCTGACATATGGTAAATGGTCTGCATTTGTATAGCGCTTTACTCAGTCCCTAAAGACCCCAAAGCGCTTCACACCACATCCACCCATTCACACATTGGTGATGGCAGCTACATTGTAGCTACAGCCACCCTGGGGCGCACTGACAGAGGCGAGGCTGCCGGACACTGGCGCCACCGGGCCCTCTGACCATATATGAATTAGCTGTTAGCATCTGGGAACACTGAGTCTGATGGGAATCATTTGCTCTGCAGAAATGTGATCATAGAGAAAACGTTAGGAAAACTGAATTTCTATATTTTCCAGTGGTTTAGTGATTTAGTGTCACTGTCAGTGTTCCTCTCCAGGCAGGCGTCGCAGATTTGCAACAGTTAAAAACTAACAACCTGATTACCCCACATGCATATTTTATAAGTTTGTTTTACTCAGAAGCACCACTGCAGGACTTGGTTGTGCATTAGCAACAAAAAGTCTAATTTGAGCCTGAGAGGGTTAAAGGAAAAGTCAGAAGGTCATCATCAGGATTCGTTTATTTTCATCATATCTGTACAAACATTCAGAGCCAGACCAGCGGCTGCTGTTCCTGAAGGGTCGACCAGCTTGACAAATGGCACTGTGGGTATTGTAGGTTTACTGCAGCATGGCTGATCCAGCCCAGTTGGAGCACTTAACCCAGGGATGTGCACATCAGCTATATGTGTAACATGTTCCTCACATCAAACATGTTTCATTTGACTACACAAAGCAGCAGATATCCTCTAACTTGGTGTCTGACCTCGTTTAAAGTAGAAGAGGTGTGGTACTGCAGGTGTGAGCATTTACTCTGTCATGTTGTTTGCATGCACCTGTGTGCAACCAGGAAGAGTAGATACTCCATGTACTTTGCCTTCCACCACACTGTGGTCGTCACTTTCTCACTTCTCCACACACAATCATTCACAAAGCTGCCTCCACACCTCTGCTTCTTGTGTGGGAGCAATGGATGCGGATGCTACCCACTCATATGGGCGTGTGCATAAATAGCCTCAGTTCATGCTGCAGTGGAAACATCAGCTCTAAATATGGAAACGTGGGATTAAAAATAGCTCCATAATCCAGTCTTTGCAGGCCAAGCATAAGCTCATGTTTAATTCAGAAAACTCTGGTATTCATAACTCACACTTGCTCCACCCGTGACACTGAACCCACCGTGGTGCTTAACAAGCACACTGCAGTAACACTGTTTCATTGTCAATTTGCATTTCATCCTGTTAGTAAGCATGCAAATCAAATTAATCCCTCATCCCAGCGGAGACGTCGCTGACACCGTTTGAGATGAAGTTACAGTCTCAGGCCCGGTGGGAAGCGAGGAGCGATCATCGTAGCTGGCTGTGGGGTAATGACGTCTGCTCCAAAGACAGCAAGCATGGCCACTTCCT